ATAGGTGACTTCTGTGAACCAATTCTTCCATGTTTTTAGCATGATTGATGTTATACATTTTTTGTTTGCTTGTACGCATATATGAGCACCATGTGAGTTCCTGGTACTCATAAAGGCCTGAAAGGGAGGAAAACACACACACATACGCACACAGCATTGCCAACCCCAAGATGAGGGTATAGTTCAGTTGGGAGAGAGCTCATCCAAAATGCACAAGGCTCTGAGTTCATCCCTAGCACCACGTCCTGGTAATGTCCCTAACCCCAGCACTTGGGAAGTAGAGGAGATCAGAACATTCAAAACATTCCCAGCTCCCTACAAATGCCCCTTTCCACTATTATTCAACATCCCAAGGCTATGGTGGTGGTTTGAATAAGAATGGCTCCCATAAGCCGGGCAGTGGTGGCGCACACCTTTAATCCCAGCACTTGGGAGGCAGAGGCAGGCGGATTTCTGAGTTTGAGGCCAGCCTGGTCTACAGAGTGAGTTCCAGTACAGCCCGGGCTATACAGAGAAACCCTGTCTCGAAAAACAAAACAAAACAAAACAGAATGGCTCCCATAGGCTCATAGATTTGAATGCTTGGTCACCAGGGAGTGACACTATTCGGAAGAAGTGTGTCACTAGGGGGTGAGCTTTAAGGTTTCAAATGCTCAAGCCAGGCCCAGTGTCTCTCTCTTCCTGCTGCTTGTTGATCTGGATGTAGAATTCTCAACTATTTCTCCATCTCTGTCTGTGTATCTCCATGTTTCCCACCACGATGATAATGTACTAAATCTCAGATACTGTAAGCCAGCCTCAATTGTTGCCGTGGTCACGGTGTCCCTTCACAGAAATAGAACATTGACTCAGACAGCTACTATGTAAGTGGATAAATGCAGAAACAACTGAACTACCCTTAGAGGTAGGGATTATCACTTTTTCTTTGAGACAGGGTCTTGCGTAGCCCAGGCTGCCCTCGAACCCACTATGTAGCTGAGGATGACCTTGAACTTCTGATCCTCCTGCCTCCACATCTCAAGCTGGGATTACAGGCATGCATGACCACACTGGGTTTATTTAACTCTGGGGATCAAATCCAGGGTGCTGTGCATTGTGGGTAAGCACTCTATCAACTGAACTACATCCACAGCTGGGATTATCACCCTTTTAGATAAGCAGAAACCCAGATCCTGATGTCAATGCCCAATAGAAGTGCAGACAGTAGGTCAGGAGCCATCTCAAGATTGAAAAGCGCTTTCTTGATGCTCCTCCAGCTGGTCTCATGTCCCCACATCAGTACAATGAGGTAAGATGCAGGATATATGTCCAGATACTCCAGACATCCCACAGAGACTTGGGGATTTTGTTTGCGGCACAGGCCTGTTTAGGGACGAGGTGTGAAGCATGGGTATAAAGGAGGAAGAGGGAGATTGTTTCGCTCACTAGTGGGTTCAAAACTTTCATAATCCTAGGTGCCTACCACCCAGCATCACAGCGGGGGGCTCAGATACAACTGCCCAGCAGCGGGGCAAGTAAACCCACCCAAGCCCACCCCTTCCTCATAGATGCCCCAATTGTAGGGTCACGACACGCAGCTGTGAAAAGCCAGCCCAGACCTGGGCTCCACTGTGCTGCTGCCTAGGGTGAGATATGAGTCATCTCTGAGTCTTGAATAGACTTTGCTCTCCTGGAGGACCTCTGGTGGCCTTTCGACGAACAGCACCGGTTCTGAAAGCCTAGGTGGGGCTCCAACCGACTGTGGCCTATGCTGGGTCTCCACTGGCTGCTTCCATAGTGCCTGTAGCTCACCCTCCTGATGTGAATCCTGTGCAGAGACATGTGCCTGTGGCCTTGCAACGATCCATCACCTCCTCCGTGGTACTCAGACCCTGAGCTACTGGATGTGGTTTCCCTCACATAGCTAGCAGGAGTTTCTGCCTTAGAACGGGCCACCAAAGGCCGCTTAATTACATCCAGGTTTCAGATCTTAAAGTCCCTTTGGTCACCTTAATCAGGAGGTCCCTGCCACTGCTGGACCAAAACTACCTCCAAACTTGGTGCTCCCCTCTTTGATTCTTTTCCCAACAAGTCGAGATATGCCACACCTTGCAGGAAGTCCTCCCCAGGTTCCTAAAGCTAAGAACAGCTTCCATTTTTCTTTCGGGCCCACTTAAATGTGTGTGTTAAATAATGCGGATGTGTGTCTGAGTGTGAGTTTGTGCATATTTAAGTGTAAGTGCCCATATAGGCCAGAAATGTTGGATCCCCTAGGAGCTTCGAGTTCAAGGCAACTGAACCACCCCCTATGAGCACCAGCAACTAAACTCTGGTGCTCTGAAAGAGCAATGTGCACTCTTTACCGCTGAAGCATCTTTCCCAGGTGTTCCTTGCTGGCCATATTCAACTTGGCTATCTTCCTTTTCACTGTCTTCCTACAGTTTTAGTAAAGATAGGGAGGCTTCTGTGGGATGGTGACAGTCACTGGGACAAGTGGCTTCAAGTCTCCTCCCAGAAACTTGACTTGGTTGTGCCCATGAACTTGCTACTTAGTGACTCTGAGACCCTTCTTGGAGGGTAGCAGGAGACCTGAGAAGAGCAGAAGCTCTGATGGGAGAGAGTTAGTGTGGCCATCCAAGTTTTACTGTGGCTTTCTGTCAGGAGATGGTTTCCCAGTCAGCTTCCCAGATCTTTACCCTGTCCTCTGACCCCTTCCACTTTGAGGGTAGAGACACTCTGGCCATCTCTCCAATGCCTTCCCAAGACACTGGACAAGGAAGTCCCCAAGGAAGGAAAATATGGCTTGTGTGTCCAGTTCCAAACCTTCAATATAAATGTTTATTACAATATAATTTGTGGGCTGGAGAGACGGCTCAGTGGTTAAGAACACATTCTGTTCTTGCAGAAGATCTGTGTTTTCTTCCCAGAGGACACATGGAAGCTCACAAAAAAAAATCTAACTCCAGTTGAAGGGGATCTGTCGCCCTCCTCTGGCTCCCTGGGGCACCTGCACTCATGTGTGTGTGCGAGCGCACACACACACACACATACACACACACACAAATTTTAAAAATCCTTTTTAGAGATACACTTTGTGCCCTCTGAAATTTCTTTTTGCCAAACAAAACCTCAAGCGAATGAGCTTTAAAATAAGTACCTTTAGAGGTTATAGTAATATTTGTTTCTCTAAAAATGTAGGACTAAATCATTAATGCCCTTGGCATTTGGAAGTTTGCAAAGGCTTCTAAGAATAAAGCAGAGTTGTTTTGCTTTTGGTTTGGTTTTGGTTTTGACTTTCAGAGACAGAACCTTGTATAACCAGGCTAGACTCAAATTCACTAGAGAGCCAAAGTTGACCTTGAACTCCTGATCCTCCTTCCCAGTGTTGGGAATCAATCGCCATACCTGACAGAAGCGGAGTTTTCTCAGAGCTGAACCATCTTCAATAAAGGCTGAAGGAAGTGGGTGGGGCTAAGGATCTGTTGGTAAAGTGTTTGCTGTGATCTGAGGACCCAAGGTGGATGACCAGGACCCATGTTTTAAAAGAAAGCTCTGCGTGCTGGAATCACTAGGGACTGCTGGCCAGCTAGCCTCACTACTTGGCAAGTTCCAGGCCAGGAAGAGATGAAAGACCCTGTCTTAAAAAACAAAAGGTGGTCGATGCCTAAAGGATGACATCCACAGCTGGGCGGTGGTGGCGCACACCTTTAATCCCAGCACTTGGGAGGCAGAGGCAGGCGGATTTCTGAGTTTGAGAGTTCGAGGCTAGCCTGGTCTACAGAGTGAGTTCCAGGACAGCCAAGGCTACACAGAGAAACCCTGTCTCGAAAAAAAACAAAAAACAAACAAACAAACAAACAAAAAAAGAATGAGATCCAAGGGTATCCTCTGACTTCCACATGCATGTACACACATGCACATTCACACACATATACATACGCACACATCTGCACACATACACACATAGACACATAGACACAGTCATACATACATATGCACACCACACACATGTACATATATACACATACACACATATACACACATGCGCTTATGCATACACACATACATATACACACACACAGACATACATATACACACACACATACATATACACACACACATACACTCATACACACACACACACACTCACCAAAGGGAAAATAAGATTGAGGGAAGATATGAAGCCGCAGGGCTGTGAAGGCCACGGGCAGTTTGTCAAATACATGCCCAGGAAGCTGGAAGGCATCTCTATTCTTTCTCCAAGTAGCCATACTGGGATTGGGAGGAGGCGTGAGCAAAACCCACAGCTCTGAGGAACATTGCGGTGAGCTCTTGCAGCTGAACACACATGCCCTAGACTAACCTCTGGAGCACCTATGAGTCTGAGCTGCCAGGCAGCGGGGTCTCGAGACCGTTCGAAAAGGGGATCCATGTGATGTACATCACAGCATCACCACTTCCTAGAGACTTGCCAAACAGCCAGGGTGTGGTTTGGTTTTTCTTCCAGGAGTCTTTTCGGTGGTAGGCCGCTAGAAGACAAATCTACTGTTTGTGGATGCCCCAGTCCCCACGGCTAAGAAAACAAAAGCTACTGTGACATGATGTAAGGCTTTGGCCTTATTTATTTATTTATTTATTTATTTATTTTACAGTCAATTCCACGTGTAAAAGACTTCATAAAGCGTTGTGGCTCTAGCTGTACCCCAAATGAGCTGCTGAGGATGGGGTTGGCTATTCTGGACAGACTCCATTAGGACCTCCACGTGGGAATGTGACTGGGTTTCTTGATTCTAATGAGCATGAGTTTACAGAGTCTCCCTGAGACTCGTCTGTGCCTTTGGAACAGCTGTTTACAAGACGGAAAAGGCAAGGCACAGGCGTGCAACACGTCCTTGCACATGCACCACGGCGAGGTGATCCACAAAGGCTCACAACATACAGAAGAGTGGAAGAAGAATGTTATCTTTATACCCCACACCATTCCACCAGACTCTCAGGTCTAAAGGACACAGAGCTCACTTGACAAAGACATTTGAACGGCACTATTATGGTCAGTTTCTCTCTTAGGTACACACTGCAAAAATATTTAGCTTTCCATTCTATGAATATTGTATATAAATATCTGTCTGCCTTTACTACAGTTTACACACATTCACTTAGCTGTCATGATTCATCTACACACAATCCTTACTGAGGCGGTAGACCGCCCTGATCTGGCACTTAAAAAATATCAGGTATCGGTTCGTGTTGGTTTTAGTTGGGGGGTGGGGGGCGTCTTTCAGGATGTGCTTGTTAGTAAGGCAAAATTATGCAAATGAGGAAATGTCATGGTGTTTTGGTCTGTTATGAAGCATGAAGGTTAAATCACTACGGGTAGTTTCATTTTGGAAAACTGGTGCTGTTGACAAAGCTCCTGGTTTCTTCTCAGGTCAAGCGGTCACAGGTAACTTCCCTGATCCCTTTAATAGTAGATTCGCATTTCTCAGATTCCAAACATGGCCATCTATACGCTTTAGAGTACCATGTCACAAATCAGACATATCTGGGAATGAAAAGGGTTGGGCCACACTGGATGCTCCCTGATGGGAATCGGAAACTGTTTGCACTTTTGGTTGTTGATATGTGAAAACTAGGTGGAGAGGGGCCTCTGTCCTAACATTAAAAACCATGGTCTCCAGTTCCACGCCCTGATGGTCCGGAGCTGGCCCCGTGTGGCGGAACTGTGGCCTCAGAGGAATCCTTCCCTCCACGTCGCGTCCCTGACCAGGCAGCTGCAGCACTGGATGGCAGGCCACCAGCTGCTGCAGTTCAAGGGTTCCACATTTGCTTTGGTCATCATCACCTTAGAGTTGGAGAGACTCATGCCAGACTGCTGTGCTCCTATATCTGATCTGCTAAAGAAAGGACAGGTAGACATCAACTCGGCCCTTCTGGCTGACATGTTCTGTGCTGCAAGGGGTACCCAGGACCCTTCTTGTTCCTTTATGAACTCCAGAAGATGTTTGGAGCATGACGGCTGTGGCAAGAGACTAACTGCAGGCCATGCTTTCTGTATGTGGTCATGCTCTGTGTTCCCCGGGGGTGGCAGACCTTGAACTCATGGGGAAGGATTTTGGGCGGTGAAGAACAAGAATACAGACAGTCCATTAGCCACGAGAATTGGGAATGGGCAGAGGACTAGGAAACTTAAATGTTGGGGATTACAATGAATTATGTAATAATAAATGAAAGATTATAGACTTTCCTTCTACAGGAGTGTGTGGTGACAGGCAGAGGGTGGGGGATGACGTGTCAGCAGCCCTCGGGACAGATTAGGATGAGATGGTAGAGTAATGATAGTTATTGAGGTTGGAAGTTGGAAGCGTTAATGGTATGAAGTAGGATAGTTGTACCGTGCTCATAATGTCTGATGTTATCATGCTGGCTCTTGGCTGCCCACTTCTGTGTCTGAGACGATTCTGTTTCAAGGTTACCACTCTGTGTTGGCACATATCAATGCTGAGCAATACGGTGGCTGAGTGGCACTTGTAAAGCCATGGCTGAGAAGTTTGTGGTGACCTTCCTGCACCACTTCTGTTTCACCAGCCAGCCAGCCTCTCTGCTACCATCTCGAGGCCCCCGGGACCTGTGGGAACCCACCATGCTTGGATGCTGATAGATTCTTTGGCTTTGAGTCTCATAATGAGACTGGGAGAAGGCTCCACAGCAGTGGTCCTCAACCTTCCTAATGCTGTGACCCTTTGATATAGTTCCTCATGGTGTGGTGACACCTCCCTTCCCCCCCCACCCCACCCCCCGCCAACCATAACATTTTTTGTTGCTACTCTATAACTGCAATTCTACTACTGTTATGAACCTAATATAAGTATCTGGTATACAGGATATCAAATATGTAATCCCCGTGGCAGGGTCTGTTGATTCCCCACCCCCCTGCAAAGGGTTGTGACCCACAAGTTGAGAGCCACTGCTCTAGAAGAGCCTCTGGTGAAGTTCTTCAGTCCTCAGAAGAAAGTTAGGAGAGATCAGGACCAAAGAGGTAAGGTGGCCTGAAGCTGTGACCCTGCCTTTCGTCCCTGTCCCTGGGGACCAGGAAGCCAGGTAAAAGGCTATACTCTTACTCTTTCCTTCCTCAGCAAGAGCTGTTCCTAGCCCCTTGGAGCTACGGTGAACCCTCCTCAGCCTGAAGCACAGGGCTTTTGTTTGTTTGTTTGTTTGTTTTGAGACAGGCTCTCACTATGGCTCAGAACTAGCAGAGATCCACCTGCCTCTGCATGCCTAGTTCTTGGATTAAAGATGTGTGCCTGGCTCCCTGACAGACCAATTCTTGCTGTTCTACCTGCCAGGCCTGGCCAAGTCATTTCAGATTCTTAGACTTGTTCCAAACATTGGAGCAGCCCTTTTTTTTTTTTTTTTTTCCTGGTTTTTCGAGACAGGGTTTCTCTGTGTAGCCCTGGCTGTCCTGGAACTCACTCTGTAGACCAGGCTGGCCTGGAACTCAGAAATCCACCTGCCTCTGCCTCCCAAGTGCTGGGATTAAAGGCGTGCGCCACCACTGCCCAGCCTGGAGCAGCACTTCTGTCCCAGCTACCCTGCTCCCTCTAAAGGATGGAGTCTCTCCGGACCCAAGGGTCTCAGTGTGGTGGTCCAGATCAGAGAGTAGTGCATTTCCTGTGGACTCTGAAGCCCCACAGTTGCCACATGCAGAGGACTTCATGCTAAGGATGCTCCTGTGACATGTATGGAAGGGATTTGAAGGCTGGAGTGGCTGAATACGCGCTGAGGCCAGCTTGCCCTGACTGTCATGCTGCCAGGAGGAGGAGGAGACTTGGAGGATGCCAGGGAAGAAGCCAGCTGCCTCTCTGAAGCTATGCTACTGTCATTCTCAACGCTGTGGAGCCCAGCTGTCCAAGATGCCAGCTGGAGCGGTGTCAGTCTCCAAGTTAGGGGCTTGAATGACTAGGCCATAAATCTAGAGGTGGTCTGTGAAGCTTTGTCACTGTGAACAGTTCTTTTATGAATGTGCTAAGCCATGGGGGTAGGGTTGGGGGTTGGGTATAGTCTGTTGCCAGATGCTCACCGTGGTTGGGAACCAGAAAGGCCACATTGTGAAGCCAGGGTACCATTTTATAGTTTCTTTGATTTTGCTTATGAGCACCCCTCCCCAATTTATTTGTTTGTATGTGTATATATGTGGAGGTCAGAGGGCAGTTTGTGGGAATTAGTTCTTCTCCTTCCACAACATGGGTCTCAGGGATCAAACTCAGATTGGCAAGCTTAGCAGCAAGCTCCCTCTACCTAATGAGCCATTTCACCAGCCCTTATTTTTTTATTATTACTATTATTGTTGTTGTTATTATTATTTCCGAGCCCAAGTATCATTGCAGCCCAGGCTGACCTCAAACCTAAAATCCTCCTGCTTCAGCCTTTGGAATACTGGGGTTGAGGGCACATGGCGTTCCACCTGGCTATTGGGGGTTTCTGTAAACATGTTCTGGATGCTTTTAAGTGCTGTTGGAGACCTAATTCCCACTAATGGAACTCTGCGTGTCTCACTAGAGTCATATATACCTGGAACCCTAGCCCTTGGATCTTGTCAATAGCCATCTACCAGGTAGGCCCTAGGGGACGAGAGGAGGGAGCTGCAAAGGTAGGCTTGCTGTCTGTTTCATCCAGAGGACAACATCTGGGAGTGGACACTGTGTATCTGGGATTACACCAGTATGGACACCCTGTGGCAATTGGGTGTCTGCTACATAGCACATCAACCTGTGAGCCAGGGGGCTCTAGCTATAACCTGTCCCCAAGCTGATCTTACTCTCAAGCAGAGGGCAGTCCTGAGAGCCCCGTACCAGAGTAAGGATATGGCCTGTTGCTCTGTATGTCTACAAACAAACAAAAAACCTCTTTGCTTTATTTTGTTTTTTTCAAGACAGGCTTTCTCTAGGTAGTCCTGGCTGGCCTGGAACTAACTCTGTAGATCATACTGATCTCTCACAGAGATCCCCCTGCCTACTGAGTGCTGGAATTAAAGGTGCGTGCCACTGCCACCTGGCTACCAATGAAATGATTCCTCTTGGGCAGCTACCACTTCCAAAGCCAACATATCACTGTGCATCGTTAGAAGACCAAGACTGTATCAGAGGCTGGGGTCTGCTCTCCTTGCCTCAGTTTTTGTTGACTAACTCATTTCACTCCAACATACAACTGGGAATGCCTACAGTTGGTTAATATAAACACAATCCATTTTCCTTCTGTCTCCACTTGGAAGGCCCAGGGGTTAGTGAAGGCCTGGGGCCACAGGAAATGGAGATGTAAGATAGCCCAGAGGTAGCATGATCTTTCCAACACCAGCCCTGTCTCCCAGGCTTCCCACCCTCCACAAAACCATCGCAGGCCCTCAGCCCACACCATCACATTGGATTTTAACAATGACCACACTGCCACTCTTCTCCCTCAATCCTGCCAGGATGCCAAGCTTTAGCTCAGGAATTAAGGACACAGATAATCAATATTCAGGTCCCAAGCTCTTCCCATTGCTTCCAGTGTTGCCTTAGGTAATCATGAAACCTCTCTGGAGCTTCCCCTATAAACTGGGGGCAGCAATAGTATCTAACCACAGGATGGTGAGGCTTACAGATGTTAGAGCACATGACAGAGCTGAGAACACACAGTGAGCTATCTCAAGCCAAGCTTCCTTAATAAAGCTGTAAACTCCTGGGGGGGGGGGGGCAGTGCACGCCTCCTCTCAGTCTTGGACCTTGTAACTCAAGAGCCACAGACTGCAGTTTCTCTCTGTGACTGCTCCAGCCCACAAGCATTCACAGGTCCCTGCAACAGGATTCACTAGGAAATGGAATTCTTGCAGGTATGCCTCCACAAAGGTCACAGCGGAAGTAGGCTGCATACTGCCACAGCCACAGGATATTAATAGGCTCAAGAGACTCAAGCAGAAAAGCTACTGCCCAAAAATGACACCATAAAAAACTCAAAATAAATGCAAAATTTAATGAAAACAAATGAGTACAAAGTGGATGGAAAGGAACAGAAACAAGTCCATGGATGGAGGAGTAAACGGATTAACAGCTGGAGTGGTTTTAGAAATGCATGGGAACGTACAGAGACAAGCAAGCTGGCTGTCCTGGGCCTCTTACCCAGTATGAGCCCCAAACAAGGGGAGTCCACACAAACATACAGGAACATATGCGGGGTCAGGCTGCACAGTCACAGGATGCCAGAATTCATGCCACCCAGCACAAGGGAGAACACACATCCTGGTTGGCCTGGGATATATCTGCTTGATGGCTGTTGACTTGGTTTTCTTTTCTTAGTGCTAGGGAGAGAACTTGGTCCCTAGTCTGCTAGATACATTCTCTAGCCATGAGTCATGCCCAGCATATATGGGGTCTTGCTAAGTGGCTCACTATGGCCTTGAATTTTTGATTCTCCTGCCTCAGCCTCCTAAGTGCCTAAGGAGCTGACAGGATTATCAACAGCATCTTCCCCCTCTGGAAAGTACAGGTTTAGACCATAACTTGCATGGTGATTCTACCACAAAATAAAACGACCAAAGACATAACAGTAAATGTCAATGGGATCCTATGGCAGTCCTCCTGAAGCCAATAGATGACGGGAAAAACAGGCATAAATCCCAGCTGTACATGGGTCACATCCCTCAAGGGGCAAGCTTCATGTTTTTCTTGCACAACAAAGATTAATTTAACCTCAGCTAAATAAAGATAACAAAATTTCACACAGGGGAAGAGCTTGCCATGGCTGATGGGACCCATGGGTGGGGGGAACTTAGATCCTAGAAAATGCTCGTCCAGTTTCCCCAGGGATTGCTGGCAAGCTTTAGGCCAAAGGTGGGCACTAAGCATAAGAGCCTTACATGTTATGCCCGTGTTCGGTGGGCTGCAGGGCATGGTGGTAGAATTTGCTGGCTTCAGAGTCTATGAGCCTGTAATCCTGTCTTTTATACAGCCAGTGGATCCTCTGGGTTATCCTAGTCTCTGGAATATATTGGCTAGGAGAGGTTACTCTGAAGGTCAGGCTTTGACCTAAGTGAATACATATATAATTTCCCTAAGAGGAGCCACTGGCCTGCAGTTCGCCTCTGCCTCAGATACCAAAGTCCAGCATCAGTTCCGCCATGACCAGAGGCGGACTAGCTGTGACGCTCAAGAAACTTCCAGGGCCCTTAACCTAATTTTATATTCTTAAAACTGTCTTTGTAAATAGTTCAAGTGTCCAGCCTTGCAGCCAGAATCCACCCTGGTCATGGAGGATTTTTCCTCAGAGCATCAACAAATCTTAATTCTCCTCCTGTGAGGTACTTCTCACAGGTACCATTGGCCTCTGGAAAGTTGTGCCTCAGAGAACTCACAACCACCCCTCCAGCTCATTCTGAAAAAAATACCATATCAGAAGGAGCCAGACTGGTCCCGGGAGAGGTGAAGCAGGCCCCGCATAAAGGGGGGCATGGGGGTGAGGACAAACCAGTGTGGCCCCCTCTGGGTCTCAGTGAGGGGCCCACTGGGTGATCAGCTCTTCAGAATGAAGGGTATCTTTTGGGGGGGGGTTGGGGGGCCAGAGCCCAGGCTGGTGCTGTACCAACACTAAGAAGGACATTAATCTTCACCCCCATCCTCAACCCGAGGCTTGCAAACCACCAGGAACAGAGCAAAATGGCTGTTAGCACTTATCTTGTTTTCATTTTGTTTTTGAGACAGGGTCTCAAATAGTCCAAGCAGGCCTCTACCTCGATGTGTAGGCTGGCCTCTGGCTTCCTACCTCCCAAGTGCTGCACTACAGGACTGTACCATCACACCCAGTGTCCACTTTCTTAAAAGTGTGCACCTGGGAGGTATAGCTGGAGGGGATGGTCTTACTCTCTAGCATTTTGTTTTTCCTCTCTCTCTTTCCCTCTCAAATTGTCATAATACTTCAGACACCTTTATTTCCCTGCCCTGTGACTCAGCCAGGAAAGAAGTAGCAATGACCTTGACGTGACAGCCTTCTCCCCACTAAGCACACTGGTTGGGAGTAGGCGGCTATTTTGGAGTCAAACACTGAACACACATGCACTTGGTCCCTGTCACAGGTAGCACCTCTAGGGCAGAGACAAGGGTCTGGGGCTGCTGTTCCATTTACAATCACAGTAAAAACGCTGGGCGTGGTCTCGTTCGGGGCCCACTTCTGTCCATAAAGAAGTCCCAAACACTGGCAGAATAGGAACTTTATTTCCCACCTCTCCCTATATATTATAGGGGTGCTCTCTATGTAAGAAGGTTTAGGGATCTTTTTAGTTTAAAAAAAAATCAGGGAATCTGTGTTACTTATGAAAATAATGGGAGAGATAGATATTATTTCTTTTTGTACTGGTGCCAAAATGAAAATTTAGAACTGTTGAAAAAGTTATTGAAATTAAGCTCTAGGTTAGAAAAATTAAAATAAAGAGGAACCAGGCGAATTCTGCAGCATGTATCTACCAGACCGCAGGCCACGCCTAGGGCAGGCACCACATGAGTCGCTGGCTTGATGATGAACAATTAGGCCTAGCATCACAGGCTGGGGCCACACCAGAGCGGCACATAACTGCTCCGTCAAGGAATAGTGACACTGTAAATGGAAGACCAGCCACCGGCTCTGGAAAAAATAAACCTTGTCAGTTTTGGATTCCAGCATTCATGGCTTTGACACATTTGCATAGAGAAGGGTAGCTGGCCAGGCCCAGGTGGCCTGAGGCCAGCAGGTGGGGACAAGGCAAGGCTGTGAACACTGGAGTCTGTACCGGCTCCCAGTCCATCCTCACACCATGTTATGGGAGAAGGGTCACAAGGTGTAACTCAAGCAGTGTAACACATGAAAGCCTAAAGTCCGCTCTTGACATGTAAATCTGTGCGTGCTTTAACTGAAAAATAAAAATAAAACAAACAAAACAAAACAGACACATTAAAAGATACGCAGACCAAATCAAACAGAAGCAAAAGACAGCACTGGGCACTGGGAAAGAGCAGTCAGTTTGGCATTTGTGATGAGCAAAGCAGGGAACTCGCTTCAGTTTGTGGCGTCCCGGGCTGAGGGTCAAAATCTGATTGGGAAGTAATTTCGCAAAAATTGATTAAAATTTAATGAATGAGTACAAACCAACCAAAGTCATTTACCTAAACGGCCATGAAAAGCATCCACTCCCCAAATACATGCCTGGCCCACCCTATCCCAGTGGACCAGTGCAAGAGGGAGTCCTAAACCTAAGCCCCAACGCTAGCTCCAGAGGTACAGATGCCTGCGAACAGGCATGTGCCACCACACCTACCTGGCCCTGGGGCTTCTCCCAGTTTCTTATTTGGGGACACTGACTGCCAACCTCTACTTTCACAAGATAGCTTGAACCAAGCTGGCCGGGAGCAGGACAAAGCCATTTGAGTGTACAGACTGTGTCCTCTGTTCCCCCAAGAAAGGGGGGGCATCTCAGAGCTGCCAGCTGGAAGCCCACAGTGGTTGCACCTCAACCTCCACACTCAGCAAACCAAGAGCAACTATAAAATTCTCCTGGCTGAGGGGAGCTGGGCCTGGGGTCCTTCCTAGGAACAGGTGGGCTGCCAGGCATCGGGATGGGCAAGACTACAAAAGGGGGGAACACTTGTCCCAAAGCAGATAGCAAACCTTGGGAACCCCCATGTACATCTCGTCCTGAGTGCTTTGTCTGCCCCAATAAGAAGCACTCTAAGTTTGAGGCAGGACAGGTGAGAGAAAGAGAGAGAGAGGAGAAGAGAGGTGGAGAGGGG